TACATTTCTATGCACAAATCTAAAATACTTGATGATCCAAACCACCACTGCAAAAATCGCTCCATTGCTTTCTGTTTCCACATTTGAACGTGTGTGATTCAAGAAAGACCCGTCTTTGTTCTCCTCTACATTGACATCTAAAGAAGACATACACCCTCTTTTCAGCATTCATGAATACTGCCATCTATTGTTTGGAGATTGAAATGTAGAGTGGTGCTGTTACTTCAAGCTTTGTATAGGATCTCTGCCTTGTGTCAAAGGCTACATTTTCTGTCTTTTATGAACCTAGCAGAGTAATATATCATCTTGAATATGTATGGTTGCCATCTTTTGTGATGATATTTCTCTTACTTTTTCTACCTTTTTTTTTACCACCTTTTTTTTTACCTCCTCCATTAATTTCATTTTCTATCTGCCATTACCCTCTATCTCTTGTTCTTTCCATCGTTAAATGTCATTTTCATTTTATGTCTACCTTTCTCTAATGTAATTTGTTACTCCCTGTTTCTACCTTTTTGTGTAACAAATCTTTTCTTAATAATAAAGAAGTAGTTAACTGTAAAGATTTTGTGTATATTCTAGTCTAGTGTTTTCCTTCTGTCTGTCTGTCTGTCTCTGTCTCTGTCTCTGTCTCTGTCTCTGACTGTCTCTTTGCTTTGCTCTGACTTGAGGCAAACTTCACCTCTTTCAGAGTAATTACATCTGTAATTATAGATGATTCTGTTACAATCATCATTAAGAGTCCTGTCCCTAGGCTATCTATCTACCTATGTAAAAGCCCACTTTCCCTCCTATTACCTATACTTTGTTATTGGTTACATTCTTTATTATACTCTACATACACCTGCAATCTTATACCTTCCTGGGGGTTTTCCCGTCATTTGTAATGCCTCCATTTCAAAACCTTCTTTTCTTTCTTGATTCTGAATAACTTGCAGTTGTTTATGTTCCATATTCATACAAGAATTAAGAAGACAAGTTTTCTTATTTTCTTCCATGTTCTGTTATGTGGGCTGTGTCTTAATCTGAGACGAAATTATTCTTTGCCCTGTAGCGTTTTTCTCATCCTTCATTTAAGGAAATGTATGCATAATATATGTATTTCTAAGATTTTGCTTAATTAATGTGTTTGTTTAGGATCCCTGAAGCTAACTTTCTTTTCTTCATAGCGTTAGAAAGTCAAGCTTATCCATAGAGCCTGAAGGGTGTTAACGCTGTATTAATGCTATTTAGGCTCCAATGAAATGAAAAATTGCCCACCATGTTCCAAGATTTTATTATTCTATTTTCAAGAGAACAGATGAAAGATTTTCAGAATGTTGTATGTAATAGGCATGCATACATTGATCATAAATATTCTTATTGTATCATAGATATTAGTGAGTCATCACCTGGGTAGAATTTTCAATTCTATCAAGTAACTGTAGAGATAGAGAATTTTAAGTATGATTATACCGAGTAATTTACATTGGATTAGACATGAAACTGTCAGAACATATGATGGGATCCATCAATTACCTGATGTAGAATTAACCTGTCCTACTCACCCCTTCGTTAAACCCCCGGTTTGCAAGCCCCATCTACGTTCACCGCCACCTCCTTGTCAGGGAGTACGGGCAGTGAAGGGAAGAGCCTGTATTGGTTGGGAATTATGCATTAGCCTAGCCTAGCCTAGCCCGGTGCAAGGGAAGAAAGAGTGAAGACTTATTCTCTCTCTTTCTCTATCTCTCCTCGCATAAGTGTATGTGGAAAGTTGTTGCAGACGTGGGTATCGCCCATGCTTTTATGCACAAGATGGGAAATGGCAGAATCTCTGCATCATATATGCAGCCTGTGCCCCCAAATCCAAAATGGAATGAGTCAATGGTTTCTTATCGTAGTGCTGTGAAATTGGTTTTTTGTGTTCAAGCAAATGCTAAGAGCAGAGAAAAATGAGTTTTACTAGCAATAAACATCACAAAGAAGAGATATAAGGGACATTTTCATATAAGCATAATTTCCTGAAATGGCTGCCTGTTATGACAATGACATCGGTCTCTGACATTCATGTTCACAGATGAAAAAATAGATTTATTTTCTTATTTTTTGGACACAAACCTCTGTTGCATAACTTTATTTGACATCAAGAAAGAAAATAAGATTGAATGAGAAAGATAGATGGAAAGAAAGGGGTAGAAGGATGAAGAGAGACCTTTCTTTCAAAGAAGAAAGATATGTCTTTTGTCTTATCTTCGTCACATGTGGATAAAAAAAAGACACATAGAAACTTGTGTGTTATGATAATTTAAGATATCTTTTTCATTTTTTTGTCTGTAATTCTTGGTGATTATTCTCTAATTACACCTCACCGTGTATACAAGGAGATATTTAGTGTGAAAATATTATGACATGCACGCGATGGTTTCATATATCACTTTCCGGATTTCCTAATACTTTTGAGGTTTCTTTTGCGGTTGTTTTCAAACGAATTATACATTTGATTACATTTTATCCTTGATTGATAAGAGGATAATCTTTGAGTAATCGATTGTAATGAGAATCTTGCACTATTCAAATCAACTGACCTTGTTACAGATTGCTCCACCAAAAACCACATGAATCCTATTATCTCCTTCAAAGTGATACCATTTAAGCTGCGCTTATCCCTAAACCAAGTCTTCTATTCCCAATCAAAATATTGTCCTTTTCATTTAAATAAGGCACTCTTGCTTTCCCATTTTCTATTTCTTTTTGGAGGGGTAAATTAGAGATATATCTTATATCTTAAATAGGACATGAGGGGGATTGATGCTTTTGTATGATAGAAGGACCAGGTTTCAGGTTTAGTCAAAACTAACAGTTATGATAAATTCACTGAATATAGAAAGATAGTATTGGATTAATAAAATCCATAAGCGGTATGGAAGGCTCTTGGGCTTAAATGAGTAAGCAGTGAATCGGCCCAATATCTTTTTGATTTTATTTATATATTATTATTGTTATAAGTGATCTGAAAATAGCCCTTTAGATGTTAAGTGGTGTGTGATGAGGTTAGGAAGGGTTCCCTAAATCATTTGGTGAAGGAACATTCTATTTCTCTGTCTCCATCCTTGTGTTTAATAGAGGGGGACACTACTAAATACCACGATGAAGCATATATGGGAAGTTAAAGGAAATTGTCTGGTGAACACACCTGATGTTGCATCCAGTATCAAATGCAGGAAACTGTTAAGCCAACAATCACTTGAATGTCATTAATAGAAGAATATAATAACAAAACTAACACCCACAAACATTTGAAGGGAATATAATTGATCCGTCCAATACGGCTGAAGGTTGAAAGGAAATGATGTAGACTATTGGGGCTGATATCCTAATCTAAATGAAATATAGTTTCAACAATATTCATGGGCATGGTGACTATGTTATGTTTACCATGTTGGTTATGTTTACATTGTTATTAGCCTGTTCTGAAATTGAGAAAGTTATTCTAAAAGCTAAACTTTCTCATGTTTTAACACTTGATTTCTTGGAACTACTACCAAAATATCATTAGGCGAATTTCAAAATGTTGATAGATGATGGCAAGGCAATATTCATTACTTAACACATATATGGCTTCATGTCGGCTTTGCTTTTGTGAAAACAAATTGATTATGCAGTTAGTAGTCGTTTGTGAATTTTTGGCTCTCTTTTAAAGATATTATTGTCCATATTCAGATACATAAAAGGGTTAAACCCTCACAATAAGCCACTCAAATTTGAATTGAAATACTTGCGGCATAACCAGAAACATAGTATATTGAAAATAAAAAATGGAATTTATGGTTTTCATATTTATTTTTTTAATATTTCATACATATTCTGCTTCTGAAGGCATGTTGTGGGTCATGTCACAGAAAATGTAATGATTGGAGTAAATATTTTACTTATATGCTGCTATAGATAGATAGATAGATATATCATTAGGTACTAGTAAAAGAGAGGATCAAAATAAACATTACACTGCAGCTAGCTATCTCAGACTGAAAACGGACAAAACATACAGAGATGAATAGGAGCTGAAATCTACAGACATTTTAAAAACATATATTGGTAATTTCTTTGGGTATTGCTGTCTTGTGTATGAGTTATTTTTGCACTACATTTAAGAACTATTTGGGTCTTTAATATTACTCTTGTTTGGTTATGAACTCAATTTTCCTGAGGGCATTGTTACCAAAAGTATAAATTAAAGTGATAAATTGTGTTAATAAATTTTCTTTGATAGTGGCGTAGATTACACTCAGCGCACAGAGTAATCAGTGTCATCGTTGAAAATGAAAATGGCATGTTGATTTATGAATCACCAATGTTAAGAACATCGAAAACCTGGCTCTATGTCACGTTTCTTTGTTCATTGAATTCTTTCTTTTCTTCCTTCTTGCACTTTGATCTTGATTCATGAAAAGTCAATTCTGTGCAAGCAAAAAAAGCTTGTACTTCGAAGCACAATATTGAAGGTCAAATACGTATCAGATAAATAATAGATTTTACGAAATTGGCATTTTAAAGATTATACACAAATGAAGTTTTGAATTTGTCCTGTTCGAGTATTATGTTTATGTGTATACATTTATTGTAATGGCTCTACACTTGAATGAAACCTCAAAATGATTAATGTCATTCACATTTCTTAAGTAAAATTAGGAGCAATGATGAAGGGTTTTCTTAAGAGAGGGAGTAGATTCAATAGGTGGAATAACTCAATCTCAAGTCTACAGGGCTGATGACGATGGTGCGTATTATGCATGGGGGTACGTTCATGTGTCGGGCTGTGTATCCGACTACGAGTTACCACTCTACAAGCTGCATGCATGCATTACATGTTCGTACACAGACCAGAGGTAGCGGTTGCCGCCGTTTGGGGCAGCCACATACATTAGACTTGAAGTTCAGCTATGCTCCGTCCCTCCCTGCTTCGACAGGGAAATTATACAAAAGGGTACGAGGTAGAGAGAGTGAGTGAGATGGAGAGAGAGAGGGGGAGAGTGAGTGCGAGAGGTAGAGATAGAGAGGAAGGGGGCCCCTACCTGGCCATGCATAACGCATAGAGACGAGAGAATACCAGGATGTTCACTATTTATGCCATGGCATAGTCATGTTCATGTCCAGCTGACCTAGCCTATGATAGGGTATTTGTGTGTGAGTGTGTATGAGAGAAGGAGAGATAGAGGGAGAGTGTGAGAGAGAGGAAAGAAGAGAGAGAAAGAGAGGGAGACGTAGGAGGAAGATGTGAGTGTGTGTGTATGAGTGTGTGAGCTATCATCAAGCTCTGATTGTGTATCCTACCTTGTCTGCATAGCAATGCATGCATAAGCGTGCCAATATTCCAGCGCTCGCTCGCTCACACACATACACACTCTCACCCACACAGTGCTAGTGGAGCTAGAGTGAGTCTGTGTGTGTGTGATGTATCAGGCACATGGAGGGAGGCTTAGCTGATATAGAAGCACCTTTAAACATGTCTGTTAATCAACTATCATGGATCAAGTCTTTATTGGCCCCAAACTAGAGATGATTCTTTGGTAAACCTTTAAACTGACATTGTGGACCGATCATACAAAGATTGCACCAGGAACGGGAGTCCCATGCTGGAAGTTTGGTTGCCGCCACCAAAAAGCAGATGGTTTTTGTCATCCGATGGTGGGGTCTGATTTGGGTGTCTCTCACCCTAATACTCTCTCGCTCTCTGTCTCTGCCTCTCTCTGCTGGGTCAACTTTAATTCACAGTGATAAATGATGAGACACTGTCAATGCTAAGGCCATGGATTTCATTGATGTTGTGGACAAAGACAAAATTGTGATAATTCTTCCATGAGCATCTCATAAAAACCTTGTGTGTGTATTATTTCTTGGAGGTTGCTACTATATCTTGATCTTCAGTAGATAACTAGTGTAGTGGAAGTCCTCTTCTCCTCCTTCTCTTCATCATCGTAATCAACATCGACATCTTCCTCACCAATTTTCTTTTGACTTGTTTCATCATTGTGAATCAGGTATAGATGATATTCAAGACTATCTTTCAGATGTGCCTCTGGTGGAAATTAACACAACTCTATGACAATCATGTATGATGAAGGTTATCCATTATTGATGCTGAAACAGTTCTAATAATACTGAGCATAAGCAACAATTGGAGGGAGAATAATTTGTTCACCACAGGAACTTAATAATGAGTTGAGGGAGAATCGCTAATTTTATGCGGGGCAAATTGTCGAGAGCTGCCATAGTTTGGTATCAGAAGTTTTGAAATTACCAAAAGCCCCAGCTGAGCAATGTTTGTTTTGTAATTTCAATTATTCGCAGCATTCCACCACAGTGTGCAATTAATATAATCTATAACTTGGAGTACTCTGGACCAATTGACAGTAACATCTTTTAAATCCTGGCGATCATATATATATGTAGGATTGATACCTTAACAGCTCTATCTAGACTGTAGGATCCCGACTTGGTCCTAAGATTAATCCGTGAAGACTCGATATACAGGCTGAAATAACAATGTCAAAAGACGATAGCAGTTTACCCATAGGGGGCAGTGGCGCAGGTGGTAGAGGAAATCGCATGAGGAGATCATTCCGCCGGTTTATGGGCAAAAAAGGAGAAAAAGGTGAAAATAATGATTCCATTTTCTTGTTAGTATTGTAATTTAACCATAAGATGTAAAATAGAAGTGTCTTATTTGATTTTGGTTGGATACACATTCTCCATACTCAATAGATCCCAGCCCTTGATTAAAGGGGAACTATACTGACTCTCTCTGGTCATACATTGCGTCCCAGAAAAAATGAAACCAAGAATTATTGATGTTTTATCATAACTTAACTACAATTATAATTAACAAATGACACATATTTGTGAAGCTAAGATCCTCCTCTTTCATTTGATGCAACTCATATGATGCATATTGATGATGAGTGATTAAACAAAATTTAAGGAGAAGGTATCAAAAAGTCATTTGGCGGGCGGTATCTGAATTTCAAAGAGAAAATCACATTTCTAGAAAGTTCATTTTCTGCCCTTTCATAGGACACCTTACTCAGAAATAATGTGCCAGGAATAACAAAGTTCTGTTGGGTTAAAGTAATGCTTGCATTTCCATAATTTGATTAAATGAATTTGTTTTCACTGGCTGCCTGCCGTAGCAACAAACAGAGTTGTCAAAAGACTTAACTCTGTTTCGTTGACGATCAGCCATGCACAAAGAAGACGAAAGACTTGATTCAATTCTGTGAAATATATATTTGTATTGGATAACTCAATTTCAGTATTTTGACAGGGTATTATAAATGTCATTATGGATTATGGTACAGAAATCGCCCAGCAGAAATAGTCCACATATTGTCTAGCATGCAATAAAAAATAAAATTCATATGTATGGTTTGCTATCTATCATAGTTTACCCTGGAATATCATGTATGGTACCCAGATATTAACCACAATGTATCCTCTGCAGACACCATTGAATGAAATCATAATCGTATGAGCCAGTGTTAGACTGCTATCAAAGCAAGCATGAAACGATTCTTGAGTTTGAATGCTAGTAATAAGACGAAGGAGAATAGAAAGGAATGTTCCCTAGGGCAATAAGTATACTGATAGAATTGAAATGTGGCAGCAAGGAGCGTTGGTTTGATACGAATGACAGATGTACCAGCTTTGTTCATCTCTATTGGGGAAGCATTTGTTGAGGTCTTTGTGAAGTCAGCGTTTCTCCTTCAACATATGATGCTGCTTTCATCCAACTTTACTTGATTTCTGAATACATTTCCCCCTCATTCAATTTTCTAAAGGCAGAGCCAAGCACTTATTGATAATAACGATAAAAAATCCAGTACAAACTGCTCATAATGTAGACATTCAGCAAGGGCTTTCTGAAGTAAATTTTTACAATTGGACTACAAGGGTGTTGATCCCCAAATGTAACTTTTATGCAGTTTAAGATCGCTGTAATATTACATATACAGTGTCCTTTTGAGGGCACAGGATCTATGTGTAGACTTCTGACATAGATAAGTGGGATACTATTTATCAGCTATATAAGCTATTTCTCAACATAATAACATTTGTATACCTCCCAAATTGCTGCATTGCTTATTGTTATAAAGCACTTTGTGTAAATAATAAAAGTAATGATTTAAATTTAAATAACAATGTTCATGTTCAAAGTATACACATATCTTTGTCTAATGAATATTATACCAAACACCAATGAATATCATTGGTGAATAAGTAGTGCATTACTACAAATAATGTATATTTGTGAAAATAAGTAGCAGTATCCTTGTCATACATGTAGCATTTTCTGTACTTGCTTGGTGTTCTGGAATTCTCATTATCTTGCTCGATTTGACAGGGCATGGCATTACAGTTCCAATGAACTTCTTGTCATACTCAATTTATGGAAGTATAGATTTTCAGTTATATTACGTTTCCCTGCCAAACACAAGTAGATGATACCTCAACTTGACTGTGATTTGATTTAGAATCAAAGAAGATGTAGAAGACTTCTGGTTTAGAAGTTTTGTAGTAAGTTTCTCGGAACTCGTAAATAAGACGAACAAACATCACGCGGAAGTGGTATTAATGAGTCAATAGTTCTTACTTGTGGGTTAAACAAGCAACTAGAAAGTAAGTAGGTATATAAGTAAGCAAGTAAGTAAATAGGTACATAAGTAAGTAAGCAAGTAAGTAAGTAGGTACATAAGTAAGTAAGTAAGCAAGTAAGAAAGCAAGTAAGTATGTAGATAAGTAAGTAAGCAAGTAAGTAAGGAGGTACATAAGTAAGTAAGTAAGCAAGTAAGAAAGCAAGTAAGTATGTAGATAAGTAAGTAAGCAAGTAAGTTAGTAGGTACATAAGTAAGTAAGTAAGTAAGAAAGCAAGTAAGTAAGTAGACAAGTATCGGTAAGTAAGTAAGTAAGCAAGTAAGTAGATAAGCAAGTAAGTAAGTAGGTACATAAATAAGCAAGGAAGGAAGGAAGCAAGCAAGTAAGTGAGTTATTAGCTAGGTACCTCAGTAAGCAACTAAATAAGTTTGTAAGTATGTAAGAAAATAGGTAAGATAAGTACAGAAATTTAGATAGTAATAAAATAAAGTTACAAATAACTTTAAGAGCTTATTGATGTTAGTGCCTGTAGGTTAGTAAACTAATAATTGAGTTTACACGTTAGATTATAAGCAAGATGAACCGCTAGATTAAGTCATAGATTATTTAAAGTAAGTCAATTATAAATAATCAAGTCATTAGATAAGTTCAAACTACAAATACCTCTCTCAAATGTAATTTTTTATCAGTTAAAAAAGTGTAGTTAGCAAGGTAAACATACTATATCTTTTAGTCATTATTCTTCTTCTTTGTTTTTAAATGTGAAATTAACTTTTGAGTGGTTAATATGAGCCAGGATTTAAACAGTCCAAAATGTCTTCTGGCAAACAAGTACTATACAATCAAAGAAAATATGGTTATATGTGCCCTTACTGACACTTGTATGTTTGAAATATATACTATTTACAGGAACTTTGTTAAACTAATGAATAATTCTCATTGCTCTATGAATAACACTGAGCATAGAGAAGTGTAATTAAGGTGACAGTTTTCATTATCAACCAGCTGTGTTTTTCACCTTCTACTAATCAATTGTAACCTTCACCAAGGTGCCCTACTTTGCAAGTCAATCGTTACCAGTAATACACCATCTCCTTACCATAGTATTGTAGTCACCAGGTCTTGTAAAGGCTACTTTGCAAGTTCATCGTTACCGGTAATACACCATCTCCTTACCATAGTATTGAAGTCACCAGGTCTTGTAAAGGCTACTTTGCAAGTCAATCATTACCAGTAATACACCATCTTCCTACCATAGTTTTGTAGTAACCAGGTCTTGTAAAGGCTACTTTGCAAGTTCATCGTTACCAGTAATATACCATCTCCTTACCATAGTATTGTAGTCACCAGGTCCTGTAAAGGCTACTTTGCAAGTCAATCGTTACTAGTAATATACCATCTCCGTACCATAGTATTGTAGTCACCAGGTCTTGTAAAGGCTACTTTGCAAGTCAATCTTTACTACTAATATACCATCTTCCTAACATAGTATGGTAGTCACCAGGTCTTGTAAAGGCTACTTTGCAAGTCAATCTTTACTACTAATATACCATCTTCCTAACATGGTATTGTAGTCACCAGGTCTTGTAAAGGCTACTTTGCAAGTCAATCGTTACCAGTAATATACCATCTTCCTAACATAGTATTGTAGTCACCAGGTCTTGTAAAGGCTACTTTGCAAGTTCATCGTTACCAGTAATATACCATCTTCCTAACATAGTATTGTAGTCACCAGGTCTTGTAAAGGCTACTTTGCAAGTCAATCGTTACCAGTAATATACCATCTTCCTAACATAGTATTGTAGTCACCAGGTCTTGTAAAGGCTACTTTGCAAGTCAATCGTTACCAGTAATATATCATCTTCCTACCATAGTAAGGTAGTCCAGTTAAAATTTGTATTCTGCTGTACATGTGTAATTTCGAAGAAATATTGCTCTTTTCCATAATACCCTTTTTTTTAAGGTTTACCTATATATATTTTTCCATTTTGCCTTTTTTTTATAAGTAAGGCTTTGCAAAGTTCCATGAAAAGTATGATTAATGTGATCATTGAAGGAATTCCTTCATTTCTGCATTGATTTTGCCCGAGCTTATGTTACAAGGATAAACTATGCATATTATAAGGTTTTTGAACTCTTTTTGTAATGAAAGAGTCTGTGGTAATTAGTCGACCTTAAAACAAGATTCACTCATTTTATCCGTGATCCAACATTTGCTTTAATGGCAAAGATATAAGTTATTGTAAGGTTAGATTAAGGGTTATGGTCAGGTTTAGATATAATGTTTGGTGTGTAGGGTTAAGTTAGGCCTCCTTAATGTAGGAAGTTGCCCACAGAACAGATGTTGCTCTAACACATGTGTTGTAAAACCATTCCATTATTTTGCATTGCATTATGCCTTCACCATTGATATAATATAAATCAGTGTTTTTATGGACATCGTGGCATTTTGATATTGCAAAAAGTAAAATGCCATACCTCTAAATTTATTAATAATACAAGTACTAATCTATGATGAAACTATGATGAATCTCAGTACAAGTAAGTCAGTAAGTATGCACTCTTCGTCATCTGATACTGTTTTCTTTCAAGGGCAATTCATAATGCAGCCAACCCTTTAATAGACTCACTCCACACATATCCCTAATTAGGCCCATCCTTCGTTTAATGGTCAGTGGACTGTCTATCTGTCTGGACAAATGTAAACATTCACCACCATTCAATCATGTCCTGCTCTATGGCTGCATTCACACCAGCTATTGAAGCCAGAATCAGGACAATAATACCACATCCACTGATTTAAAACTATATATCACAGATCCAGTGTTTATAAAAACATATTTGGGGGAAGAATCATGTCTGAGATGGCTGAAATCCTTGTTATGTTTTATTCTATTCAAACAAATGATTAGAATTTACAACTTCAATAAATATTTTTCTTGGCACACAAATATTACATTCATGAACACAACCTGTTGCCTACCTTTGGTCAATTTGATGGTG